GGTGCCGTCGTCGTCGCCGCCGCCGCCGCCGCCGCCGACGTCGTCTGCTTCCAGGAAGGCCACCGAAACAATGGCCGCGGCCGTGCCCCGCCTCCGCCGCCCGCGCCCCTGCCAGGTTCTCCGGCGAGCTCGGCGGGAAGGGAGGCGGCCTTGCCCTCCGCCGCCGCTGCTAACCGCCGAGCGTATCCGTCGTCGTCGTCGTCGTCGTCGTCGTCGTCGTCGTGGTCGTCGTCGTCGTCGTCGTCGTTGGGGCTGCATCGCCCTGGGCTGGCCGCTGCTGGGTAGCGCTCGGGCGGGGGGGATACGGTACAGTCAACCCGCATAGTAAGGAGGAGCGATTTTCCAAGGTGACCTTTGCACCATGCATCCGTCCCCTTCGGCCCTTGGCCACTTTCACTAGCCAGCCCCGTTCGAAAACGTCACCATTGGCCCTCCAAGGCCCTTTCATCCATACCGCGCATCTCAACCAGCGGCGACCCCACCGCCGATGTTCAATGTTGAACACCACCGGCGACCCAGAGTGGACCGATGTTGAACGATCTGACGTTTCGGAAACGACCCATCGTTCAGGGCTGAACAATCCTCGCGGTGTCAGGAACCAACGCCAGAGTCTACACGGCACGAGCCTGCGGTAGGTTCATCGAGGGAAAAAGCACGGGGACACTGACCAAGATGCCGTGGGATCTTGTCGACGCCGATCTTGGTCATGGTACATGTCGGCCGTTGCTGATCCGCGAGGATGATCCACGAAATGACGCTGACCAAGATGAGCGGTGACCAAGATCGGCACCGACGTTCCGCGTACAATCTTCCTCAGTGTCCTCGTTTTGTGTTTTACCCCTCGTAGTCATCGAATGTTGTTTTGAGCAGTAACCCCGCGTGGGTTTCGTGGGCCCTGGGATTCAATCCTGGGCCTTCCCTTTTCCGATCCTGCCTCCCCTCCTTCCTTCGAGGCACGAGGAGAGGATTGCGACTGCCACAGCTCTTGGCTGGCGAATAACGCGCATATCTATAAATACACAGAAATACATAAAATCGTACATATAATCATAACAACATATACACATACAACATATTACATGTACATGTGCATATACGATGCATACATATACAGATATATATAAATATGGTTATACATGGACACATACATATACACATACATGTACGTTCGCATATGCATACACGTTAACATTCACATGTACACATACATGTACAGTTACACCTACATTTGCAATTATTCACGCTTCGCATATATCTCCACCAGCCCATTCAGAAGCATTGCCCATGAGAGCTGACGGGAACAGGGACGAAGAGACACATCTAGGGAAACAGAGCGAGCAACCACGGTGAACCGAGAGATCTCTGGGAGCAAGGGGGTGGTCTTGGAAGGTCTCTTCGGGCCATCTCTGGGGGCCGCGTGGGGGCGAGGAGAAGAGGAGGAGGAGGAGCAGGAGGAGGATGAGGATTCCTGAATGGGCTGGGGGGGTCCTGGGGTCCTACGATGGCTCTTTAGGGGGTCTTGGGGTCCTCTTGGAGCTCTTTTGGGGCGTCTTAGGGCCCTCATGGGCCCCTCTTGGGGCTCTTTTGGGGCTCTCTTGGCGTTTTCTTGGGGCCCTCTTGGGAGCTATGGAGCGCCTCTTGGGGCCGTCTTGGAGCCCATCGATCAAAGGACGGGGGGTCCTCGAGTTGCCCCCCCTCCGGGGCCATCCAAATCGCCGCTGAGGGCCCTCTTGGGGCGATCTTGGGCGCTCTTGGGGCCGTCTTGGGGGCCTCTTGGACCCCTCTTGGAAACTTTCATGGGCCATGTTGAGGCCTCAAAAGCTCATCGGAAGCGAAACGTCGAGAAGGCAAACATCATGGATTTCCTTTTGGTTTTAGAAGGGTTCTGGCTTCTCGGGGGGGCCCGAGGGAGCTCTGAGAGCACCTGGAATCGTCTTGTGGCCTCGTGGGGCCTCTTGGAGGCATTTCGGAAGCTGTCTTGAGCGATCTTGGAGGCCATCTTGGGCTCTCTGAGGCCCTTTTGGAGCCATCTTGTGCGAAAAAGGACCCTCTGGCACATCGCGGGGCGTAAACCCCTCTCCGAAGGGTGAGAAGGGATTGTGGAAGAGGAAAGAAAGACATCGTTCGACCAACTGTCGCCCAGCGGGCTGGTGGGATTACATACACATGTTCGTTTGCAGATGCACACGCACATATACATATACATATACATATCTAGAGATAGATATATATATATATATATATATATACATATGTGTAAGACTGCAGTGGCGCTTCGCGCCATGCACCTTGGTCCTTGAAGTTTGGTATGCCGGCGAAATAGCGGGAAGGTCAAGCCGACAATTTAGCGATCACTCCTTGTTGCCTTTTCCGGCATCGCCGCTATAATAATGTTATTCGTTATCCTTTCTCCATGCTTCTGTTTCCTAATTTTCGCCATACCCGGCGCACACTCCCCATCTTCCTCAGCTCTTTTTTGCGGAGGTTCCTCCTTGGAGAG